TATATATATATATATAAAATTCAAGCAAAATTACATAGTCATGGCAGAAAGTCTAAGGGCACTAGTGTTACCCATTGATGCCAAATATTTACAGACATTACTAGATAAAGTTCTAAAGCCATTATAAACACCATGTTTGTCCTTTGTAATTTCTTGCTCAACAAAAAGAGGTGGACGTGCATGGTGATAACATTTAGATGAAGAAATATTTTTCTGGTGGCTTGCTTGGCTAGTATATGGGTCACCATATTTCCTTCTCTAAAATTATGCTTCAGCGTTTGGATCTTCAATTGGTGCATTAGCCATCTGCATTCACAAACAACATTGGAATAGATAAAATTATTTTCAAAAAGGAGTTTTATAACCTCAGTGGAATGAGTTTCAACTTCTATCTTCGTGAAGTTCATGTTTCTTGCTATTTTTAATCCTTCTAGTATTGCTTGTAGCTCTGCATGGATGGGGGATATTGCTTTGCATGATTATTGAATCCAACAATCCAGTCCCCGTTGCTATTTCGAAAGACTCCTCCAATACCTGCCCTGCTACTTTTGTTATCAAAAGCACCATCACAGCTCAATTTTATATAGCCTTTGTTAGGCTTTATCCAACTAATGTCTACCCTAATATTTTGTCCATAAGAGAATTTTTTCAGTGAAGAAATTAAATTTTCAAGAAGCATTCATAACCTTTCTTATGTCAAGGTTATTATTGAAGTTGTTAATGTTATTGTTGTTCCTATTTTTTCATAGTTTCCATATACAATAGGAAAATATAGTAATCCATTTTCCATCGTGATTGTAATGCTTAATGAAGAAATCTCTTAGGTTTGCTAGCTAGTTTTTATTGTACTCAATATCCAAAGTAGGTAAGCCCATTTTATCCCAAAAATTCATTGCGATTGAACAGCTTGTAAAGATGTGTTGTATGTCTTCAACACCTACTCTACACATTGTACAATTAGGATCAATATTAATACCTATTTTAGCTAAGTAGGCCCGACAAGGAATACGGTTGTGCACGCATTGCCATAAGAAGAATTTAATTTTGACCGGGCAATGGAGCTCCCAAATCCATTTAAAAGGTTTTGAGGTAGGTTCATAATCATGGATGTGTTTATAGCAAGACTTAGTTGTGAAAAAGACCTGAAGAGTTAGGGTGTTAACTTATTTTATCAGTTGTTGAACCTTTGCCAGGAATAGGAGTGGAGAGAATACTGTTGAGGATGTCGGCAGGTAGATCAAAGGAGATGGCTTTGCTATTCCATTCATTATTGTGAATGATGTTATTTAGACTGAGGTATTGATCATTAGTGTTTAGGGGACCTTCAGTTTGGCTTCAAAGTGATTTATAATTGAAAATTCAAATGTTATTCCAAATATTGATACTGGAGTTGGTACTAGGGTGCCATAGAATGCACTTATTGCAAATTTTCCACCCTTGTAAAATGGATTTCCACATAAAGGAGGAGTTATGTGAGGTATTTCTAGTGCCATATTTGGATAGTAAAATTTGACCCCAGGGAGAAGAAGTATTATTTAGCAGTCTCCAAACAAGCCCTGAAATAAGGGCTAGATTTTTGGACTTTGCTTGATGAATCCCTAATCCTCCCTCAGACTTATCTCTAGAAATCACTTCCCAATTGATTAAGTGCAATTTGTTTAGGGGAAGCCGTGTGAGGGGGTGCGGTTGTTTAGGCTTGTAATGGGGTACTTTAGGTCTTCATTACCCTTGGGTAGGGTATGATTGGCTTGCATGTTATTTAATTGTCCATTAGCATTGGTTGCCATTTGGACGTCCATTTCATGGACTTCTTCCACGTCCGCGGCCATGCAAGTAATATTTGTGTTAATATAGTTATTTTCAATATTATTATTATTAAGGTTAATTAACTTTGGCGGAGAAACCAATGCTTCAAACATGTTGCCTGTTGCAATGTATTTCTTGGTGGTTTGATTTTTACCACTGGATTTAGGCTGTGTTGGAGTAATGGCAATGCCATTATCGATAGATTTTCCTGTACCATTCTCAATTAATATGGGAGATTGAGACATACCTGGAGTGTGTGTGATTGGGTGTTGCAACATATCAGGAGTGTGAGGCATCACTTTTTGGCTTTGAGTGGATTTTATCTTCTTGGGAAATAGAACTGTTTGCCAATTACCTTCATTTGTCTGAGCAGTCGAACTTTCCATTTTGTCATGAGGGTGACCCAATGGCTTGGATTGGTTATTGGCTGGGGTTTCTTGGGTAGCTATTTTGGAGCATTTGGGAAGAGTGTATAGGCAATTTAATAATGAGTGGCCTAGCCTACCACATTTTTTGCATAAGAAATTTGCACCTTCATAATGAATTTCTTGTTTGTGTTGTCCTATGAATACATGGGAGGGGACAGGTACATCAAGGGGGATTTCAATACAAAGTCTAGCATATCTCCCTCCTAGTGTTGATGATGTACAAGCATCAATTTTGAGTAATCTACCAATTTTGTTACCAACCTTTGTTAGGATGAGGCCATCATAGAATTCAGTAGGTAATTGAGGAAGACGGATCCAAATAGCTGTGTTTGCTATTTTAGCTTCTGAGGCAATGAAATTTGGAACCCATTTCTGGACTGAGAGAAAATGACCAAAAATAAACCAAGGGCCATTTTGTAGAGCCTTAAGCATACTATCTTCATTATTAAACTTGGTGATGTAGAAATCTGATCCCAAATCAATCGGTGGAAAATTTTCTTTAATTTTTCACAGTTCTTGAATTTTTTTCTCAAGAATGTGGTGCTGAGCCTTTTTTCCTTGAAGCTTGATTATGGTAGAGTATCTCCATGGGTGGTAGATTCTTTTATGATCTTCCGAGGATAGATGAATTCCTTGTTCTTGATCATCCATTGGATTTTTTGCATGGGTGGTATTAGTGTCATTATAGGACTTATGGGTCTCTTCTATAGTAGGATCAATTACCATATGTATATGATCTTCATGTATTCCTTCTAAAAGATTTTGTTTGAAACTTGTGTTAGGAGGTTCAGGCTTTGTGGTAGATTGAGTTGCATTAATGTCCGGTGGTTTGGGAGGGATTTGGTGATTTTGGTTAAGAATTTGCATTGCGAAAGTCTTTCGGGAACTAGAGAGAGGCTGAAGAGTTTTCTCCAATATTAATCTTTTTATGTGAATGTGTAACCGAAGTTTTGAAAAAGGTTTTCTCTTCTAGAAAAATATTTTCCTCCAATTGGAGGAAAATAAGTGCATGAGGAAAATATTTTTCAAAATATTTAAGCCAAGCAAACATGAAAAATTGAAAATTCATACCAAACACACCCTACATGTCTTCTCATAATTATTTCTAGAATCTTGTAATTTTCTTTCATGCTAGAATCACTAATATCCTTTTATTTCCTTTTCTTTTTATCAGGAATATATTTCGTAGAATTATTTTATTCTATTCAAATCGTATTATGGGAGATAATTTCTTCCAACGATATAATCATTTTTGTCACTATCGGGTGATTTTGGAAATTTTCAAAATCTAAAATCTAATATTCAACGTTTGTATGTGAAATATTGACAAATAATGGGATAGCTAATCTTTTCTCAAATTCAGATTGCTATAAATTTTCAAAGTCTATGTTATAATATATTTAAAGTTTGTACTGAAACCAAAACAAGGATTAAGGTGATAATCAACTACCAACGTTATAATAGACACTGAATTTGGAAAATGTCAAGTATCAACTAATTTGACTTTAGGTGGCATTTGAGTTTTAGGTACGTAGATGACAAATAAATCCCATGAAAGAAATTGTTCGGAAGAAAACGAGATGTTGATGCCAAAACGCGATTTGGTGAAAGTTTGTGTTTCTTTGTATTTTATTTATTTTTTTCCCTTTCATTT